GCCAGGAAGGGAGAGAACAAGGGAATCTGTGGCTATTATGTAGAACTGAATAGTATTGTAAAATAAAATAAAATTAAATTTAAAAAAAAGATATTTTTAAGACTACGTTTCAGGGGATGGGGGATGGCTCACTTCAGGAAAGTGCTTGCCATGCCTGTAATCTCAATGCTAGGTCCTAAATTGAGCCATGGTAAGTATGGGACCGTGTGTTGTACTTTATAGTATAAATACACATAGATATTAGCAAGCATGGGTACTCTACTCAATACCAGAATACTAATGCTTTTGAACATACTTGTATTTATTCTCGGGTGTTTCACTTCAAGTATTTGATTTGTCAGTGGTTTCCTCACTTCTCTGATCTTTGAGAAAACTTACTCAAAATTTCTTTTTTTTTTACCTATTGGAAATTTTATTAGCAAGTCAGAGTAACAGTGGAAGAGAGTCAGAATTTGATCTTCTCTTATGATTTTATCAAATCAAGCAGTGAAAATGGTACCCATACCCAATTTTCATAAGGGACACAATTCATGTATTTACTCACAGTACTGTTAAAATCACTCTGTACAGTAGACATTTCTGAGATTAGGAGCTGGATCTATGATTGTGGCATAAATATAAAATTTTAAGGGGTACTTACTGTGAAATTCATAACAGTCTCTTAAAGCCTTCCAAGGGTTCTGAGCAATGATTTCCACTTCTTGTTGTTTGTGTTTATTTTCATTTTCCTGGAGACTAAGTGAATTAAACCCAAGAAACATCACTGGAAACCCAGATGCTGAGTGAACACTGTGCTTTAATACCTAGGGGCCTACAACTGATCTCAAGAGTATTCAATAATTCAGGAAACAGACAAACAAACTCACAAACAGGTACAGGTCCACCGATGTAACAGGGGCATGGCTGTTCCAGCAATAAAAGCCACTTTCTGATTAGATTTGAGGCCAGCTTCATGGGAGGGAATGCAAGCATACTGCAAACCTGGTCAAAAGCCCATGGCTAACAAGGCCATTGACCTGTTAGGAGAACTTACTAATATTTTCCTATATGGACATGTAGTTAAACTTCCTTATAAATCTTATGTTTATGCCTATAGATTGGTGTAGCTGTCAGCCTTAGTTGGAGAAGTCTCTCTTAGCAGTGGGAAGTGGTCAAAGCAGAGACATATTCCTTATCAAATGCAGAGCACAAATGACTGATGAACATTCATCCCTAAACATGACAGCTGTGTCACCAACTCTGAGGCCAAGAGACATAGTGGAATGGGGAGTGGAAAGACTATAAGAGCTGGAGAATGGAGAAAAGTGCTATAAAATGTCATTGCCATAATTAGCATACAGCAGTTGTGGCCATCTACATGAGACCTCAATACAGACACAACAAAGACACCAAAGTAGGAGGAGGACTCTCTGTAGGAAGAGGTTCAGCCATGGCGGGTGGAAATATAAAAGGTAATGGGTGGAAATGTGATTACAATACAATGTATGTAAGTAAGAAAAATTAAGAAAAGAGGGGTGTCTGCTCTCTGCTCTCTTCTCTGAGGAGTGGTTCTCCAGTCTCTGATTCTCAGAAGGTGAAGAACAAGTCTGAAGAACTAACCAAAGTGACTTAAGGCATGAGAGCTTAGGACAGACCACAAGGGCGAAGGTTCAAGTTTAGATTAAAGGATTGACAAGAACTGGTATCGTTGATGAATCAGAAAACTAAGAGAGAGTTTCACATACGCTCAAGGGTGCACAAGGACTGATGTGTGACTGGTCCTGCAATGCAGACTCTGTTTTCTATCAGGAGGCATCAAGGTTCAACATTCTCAGCATCTTTTGTAAAATGAGGGGCTAAGACTCTAGAATCGAATTCACTGAAGCTGCTATATGGAGAAGTATATGGAGAGTGATATATACTGTCACAAGCCAAACACCAATGCTAACTTCAAAAACAAATTATGATTTTGCCAAACAACAAGTAGGCGAAGCAGTTTACTTCATATTTTATCTTTTACTATCCCATCAGCTCTTGAATACGTAAGTTTTAGTACCAAAGTCCTACCAAAATTAATAGGTACACAAATACAAAGAGGGAAAGAGATCCTATGCTCATGGGTAAAAAAAAGTTTGTACTATAAATTTATGTTACACAGTTTGAGCTATGGATTCAAAGAATTCCATATCAAAATTTAAATACCATGGGTTGGAGACATGGCTCGGTGAGCATAGTGTTTGCTTTGCAAATGTGAGGAGGACCCAAGTTTGGATCCCCAGCATTTATGTGAAAGGATTGGCATGGTGGAGAACATCTGTAATTCCAGCACAGACAGAGGCAAAGAGAGGCAGATTCTAGAGGCTTGCTTGCCAGCCAATGTAGCAAAAATGATGAGTTGAATGAGAGATCCTGTCTCAAAACATAAGATGGAAAGTGAAAGAGGAGGACCCCTGATGCTACTCTGGCTTCTATATGTTCCTCTGAGGCCAAGGGCACATGTACACCACACATATACTCAAAGAAAAAAGAAAAATCTATATTACTTTTCACAGAAAGGAAAATTAATAATCCTATATTTTATGGAACAAAAAAAATCTTAAAAATAAGAAAGAAACAAATGAAAGCCCAAATAATCCCATGCAAACACCACAAATCCAGAAGCCATGTTATGTTGACTTGAAAATCTAGTACAAATTTATTAGAATAAAACTACAAGGAATTAAAAAACAATACACTGATAGGGGATAGAGACATGTCTCAGTGGTTAGGACAGCTTTCTGCTCTTGCCCAGCACCCACATGGCAGTTCACAACTGTCTGCAAATCCAGTTACAGGAGGTAAGACACTCTCTTCTGGCCTCTGTGGGCACCCACATGTAAGTGCATGCACACACACAGGTAATGAAGTAAATCTAAAGTGAATATTGACAAATGGAACATGCTAAAATAAATGCAGAAAGTTAGAGTGAAATCTACATATTTATTGTTAATTGATTTTTTTTGACAATGTGTCAAGAACACACAATGGGGAAAGGAAAGTCTCTTCCACTCACGGTGTTAGGAAAACTGATACTATAAGCAGACTCACAGAATTCTACCCTTGTCACACCTAGTGTATATGATCCATCTAAAATCAGGTTGAAGACATGGAAATGTAAGATGTGAAACTGAGAAAATATTGTAAGAGAACAGCGGAAAGTGACATAGCACTGGGTTATGGATTTTCTTGGCTATGACCCCAAGACCAAAACAGATGGATATGAGTGTGTTTGCCTGCCCAGCAGAGAAAACAACCAACACAGTGAACTGAAAACCCACACACAGAGAGAGCATTTGTAGTGTATGCAAAATATGCAAGGACCCAGTAATTTATAATAAGAAAACAAATATTGCCACTTTAAAAAAATGGTCCAAGATCCTAGATAGGCAGTTCTTAACACAAGCACAAAAGACTAGTATGTAAATGAAAAGGTAACAAAGAGAAAAGGAAACCATGCACTGTGGGAATGTGAATTAATCAATTAATTAATACAGTTATTTTGGAAAATAGTATAGAGGATCCTTGACAATCTAAAATAGAAATCCTATATAACCAAGACATTTCACTTCAGGATCATGTCCACAGGAACTGAGTAAATATATTGAAGATACATCTGTATTCCAAAGATTACTATTATTGGGATAGTATTCCATCTATTCCCTAATGGCTCTTGAGTTAGAGCATGAGTGTAGGGCTATTGATGTTTTGGAGATGCATGTGACTTGCTAAAAAATGAGTGCTCTCTTAGAAACTTGAGGCTCACAGGGTCTTAAAGTCAGTTTTCTTTGTTCTCGACTACAATTTTATCCTACCAGTGGGACAGAGAATGTCAACTCTGAAGTTCATAGCAAACATGACCTCAGCTTTGCATAATGTGTCATGTCCACTTTCTCTTGTGAAATGTGCAAAATAACCAAAGATACAATTTCTTTCTCTGAGTTCTTTCTGTTCCAGAAGATCAAGAGTCATGGAAAACCGGGAAGATCACTGAATAGCCTAAAGGAAGACAGTGTCCCAAGAAGCTGATGGCATTGGCTTTATAACATCCTTAATTTATAGCACTTAGAGTTCCTGAAATGCTTTGCCTCTGATATTTACCTTTAGCTAAAAATCATGCCAATGTTATTTTCCTTGTCTATCTCAACACAGTCACCAATTTCAGTAACACAGTGGATGTTTTCCATTATCCATTTATATTTATCTTTTTTAAGGATAAAAGATAATGATTTTTATTGTTCATTGACAAAGTTTTCCAAGTTACATTTGCTCCAAATTTTATAATTGTGTTTAACATTGGTAAACCATTTATATTTCCCTTTGCTATTACAAGACTTTGAAAGTATTTAATTCTATCTAACTTTGTGAGGTCACAATCTTAAACCTAGAGGGAAACTGTTTATTTCAAGTGAGTGACCACTATGATCAAACTGTCTCATGATAGGGAATGCACACAAGTTACCAGTGTAAGATTGTTCCTGTGTTAAAAATGAGGACAGTTGTATTTATTGTGAAACTTAAGTTTATTTCAAACCCAAAATCTCAGTGTGTCTTATCACTAGACACTTTGAAGTTAGTCAACACTCTAATCCTTCTGTTTGCTTAGGTATAGGATTCCTCAATATGAATAATCAGGGAGTGGCTTTGAGGCATGTTCAGAAGCCTCACAGGATTCCTAAACTGTGAGAAATTGCGTGAAACCAAGGGAGCAAGAGCTTATATATTCCCAGCACCCTAAAGTCATTCACATAGAAGAGAACATCTCCTCCATGGTACTTTAAAAGCAGCCAGTGCCTCTATTTTTCCTTTGTCTAGTTGTGTTGTGACTTTTTGACCTTTTCCAAGAAGACAAATAACTATTAGTTTATAGAATTCACATTGACTAAAGGCACTGTTATTAACTTAGCAGAGGTTCAGCATTTCATTCTAATCCACACAAGTGGCGTAGCGCTGGTTGGAGTTGCATCTGAGATCAGCACCCCGGAATGGGTAGAAAGCAGCAGCAGTATACCATGAACGTTGAGCAAAGTTCGGGGGAGCAGGTAAGTACTACAGGTAACTCTTAATAACTCTCCTGTCTAAGATTCTTAGTTTCAACATCTAATCTTGAGGGGGCTTTTGAACTCTATGTTTGCAGAGTCAATCTGGTTGCCATTATCATGGATTTGTTCAGTATGCCAGACTGTGTTTTTATATTCCCAAGAATCTAGGAATTACTCTTGGTGCTGTATTTTAGTATTTATATCAAAACATATGAAAAATGAAAAGCAAAAACAGAAAACCACAAAAAAAAACAACTTTGTTAGATGATTGGAAGGGTCATCTTGCTAGCAAATATTGAAGCATTTTTTTTTCATCTCTACACAAATTAGTCCATTGAAAGTACTTATTGTTGATCTTTTTCCACATAAATGTCTATTTATAATCAAAGTAACAATTACAGAAAATGTCTCTTGGAAGGGGGAACTTGGTTGAAAATATATTATTACTCTACTATTCTGCAAATCAACTTTTCTTAGACTCATGAAAACAAATCTGAATGGTGTCGTTCCATAATCAAACTAATGCCTTCACTTTACAAATGGAGAAGTTGAAATGTTTATCAGTACATGTTGCTATTCAGAGTTAGAAACTGAATTCTTTTTCTCACATATACTTTTTTTTTATAGGAAAAACAAACTACTTTTAAGTTCAACGTCTGTGTCTCTGACACAAGGAAATGACTTTTATCAACTAGAATTTGTATACAAAATAACAGCAAAGTTAGAATTTTCTCAAAAATTGTTTTGTAAATTGATATTGCAGAGGAGAGCAGTTTAGTTTTCAAAACTAGGCTATCATAAACTTAATTTATATTTTCCCCAGATTCCAAGAATGCTGCATGACACTATGGCTTTAACCTCGTATGTTAAGAGTTTGTCCCCATATGTCCCCATATGCTGCTGAATATGATTTATAGTTTTTGCTCACAATCACAATGAAAATCTTGATGCAGTTCACTCCATTATGTATTTAGTCATGCCAAGTAAACAATAAGACAAACTTCCATGATAACAAAAATGAAAGAAAGAAAGAAAGAAAGAAAGAAAGAAAGAAAGAAAGAAAGAAAGAAAGAAGGGAGGGAGGGAGGGAGGGAGGGAGGGAGGGAGGAAGGGAGGAAGGAAGGGAGTGAGGGATTAGAATTTATCATATTTTCAGCACTCTGAGGTTTCAGGTAGCCTGAACCCTCTTGTGGTGCTTAAACTTGAGACAAGGGAGCCTCGTTTTAGACAATTATGTATTGTTTATCTTGGGAACCTTAGAAAAATCATTCAATTAAAAAAAACCCTCATAATCCTACCTAAAGTTTATGCTGTTTTAGTTTCAAATTGAATTTAATCTAATCCTTCTAGTTTATTTTATCACATGGAATTTAACAAACAACTAAAGCATTTCCTTTAAAAAATATAATTTTATTAACCATATATTAATGAATAAATATTAATTATATTTCAGGGAACTGACAGATTATAGTACTACTAACACTTTTTCTAAGAGGACACTTATTAAGGTTGCCCATTTTTCCTCAATAAACACGGTTTTTTTGTGTGTGAATTCGCACACATTTTATATACTTCATTACTACTATGAATAGTACATATGCACCCACCACCAAAAAAGCAAAGGCTCTTATGTATATTTCTTTATACGTTTACAACCAATGAACAAAGTGAGTTGTTATTTTAAATAGATTATATGGTTGATTATTCAAGATTCTGATAACAGACCATCCTGCAAATGTTGGCAGTTTTGTCTTTCCTTTTTCTTTATCCGTATGTACTGAGTAGAACTTTCAGGAAAACATTATCCACTTCTCCTTCCTGTAATGGGATGGCTCTCAGGTTTTGCTGTTAAAGCATACTGGTCATTATTTTGAGGTAAACATTTCCTGTCACATTTAGGAACTATTCCTTCAATTTTAGTTCATGTAGAGTAATCTTGCTTGCCTCCTTTTGTCAGGACAGGATGTTCACATTTGTTCAATGGTACTGGGGCATCTATTGATACAATCAACTTATTTTCTTTCATTGATCATCTGGTGTGAAATGCTCACACATCTGTGTCATATCACTGAGCCATCATGACACCCATAGAATTTACCTAGTTCTTTACTTATGTCATGTTATTTTCATATTATTTTGTGTTTGTTTTTATATATATTTATGTTCCCAGATCACATAAACTTTCCTTATTCTTAAAGTTTAAGACTTGTCTATCTGATTGTTAATGACTTTCTGTCTCTTTCTGTATAGTTATTAAGAAATCCATACTGTTCAACTGAAGGAACACACTGTGGCTGTAGATCACACCATGTGACATGTGAGCTGCATCCGGTAAGATCCGAGGGAGGTGGCTAGATGTATCTATTGTTCCTAAGAATAACATGAAATAGGACAGTCAAGCCCTTCTCTAGCACTTCTCTGAGGCTCCTGGGACATAAGGACTCCTACAAAGTGATAGCACTAGATTGTGTGTCTTTAAGGTCCTATAGATCAAAATCAATTTACTCTCTCTGTTTGCATATTTCAATGAGATCCCTTGTATTTATGCCTGACATCTAAAATATATTTAATAAGTAATTTTAATCACAATTGTTAATATTTAATAAAAAAATTTAGAAACAATAAACAATGAGCAAAAATAAACAAAAAGCCCCCTTGAGTTTTCCACCCTCCAAAGACAACTATCTCTGCATGTCTTTATTTTTATACTTGTCTCTACCAATTAGAAAACGTTATCTACTTTGAGAAGTGTGTTCCTGATAATATCATGATAATTTCTAAGTCAAGTTATTTAATATTAAAACTTATTGCTGTAATACAAAAGGGATCACTGAGGGATTTTATTGTCCTCACAGGATTGTAGGCAAGGTGTGTGTGTGTGTGTGTGTGTGTGTGTGTGTGTGTGTGTGTGTGTGTGTGTGTGTGTGTGCTGGGGGATTTGTGGTTTCATAATAGTCTTTAGAATAATGAAATACGTTAGGTTATTCTAGTTGAAATCTGTTATCTGTTACTATTTTGTAACTGCAGAAATAACCACTCTCATAATGCTTTTCAGGCTCCAGAAAACCCATGTTCACTCTGGAAAATATTTCTAATGTGTCTGTTGGCTTGTCTAGTTGCCACAGCCATTACAGCTCTGGCCTTTTATTTTGGCCCCCTTGGCAACCCCAACAATACCACCATCGTCATTCACACAGATGGAGGGTCCCGTCAGGATCCCTGTACCTCTGCTTCTACACCGTCTCTGACCTCAACACCTCCACCTGGAACTGAGACCACTCCATCTTCTACTGTAACTACTCCGGGCTCACCTACCAACCCACCCACACCTACTACAGTGATGACTAGTACCACCATAGAACATGAGGTTGACATTGATTATCAGATAGTGTGAAATCTCAGCCCTCAAGCCAGATCAATTTCCTCACTGAAAGGGGACATATTCAAGATTCTGAACCCTGCCATGATGTCTCAAAACGCATGGCTTTGTTAGAACCAGTTCTCTACTAATCTATGCTGCTTTCCATGTAGTGATAGTCTTGTACTGATTATGTAATACCTGAGATAGGTAGGGCTTCAACAATTACTACCATCTTCTAGAAGTTCTCTCATTCTGAGACTTTTACCATGTCAGGGAACAATGAAAAAGGACTAAGGCTAGGAAATTTGGGTAAGAGTTGGCTAGATGGTCACTGCCTTCCTCTCTTGCATGATATAGAACTGTTGTTCTATAGAAGAGAACATTTTTTTTTTTTTCTGAATTTGAGTCACTCCTTGGCATGCTGGTCATGCAAGGATAAAGCCAGCTAAGGTCATCATGTTAGTGCTTATAAATTCTTACTTTCCAACTTCTCTCCTTGAGACAGTTAGGGGTGGCCAAGGAGTATCATGGAGGGGACAGGGGATCCAGGTCTACCTAGTGGCCCTGGATATCCAGGGACGGTAACATCAAGTAGAGGGCATGTATTGTTAGGTATTATGAAAGACGGAGGTGCTGTTTGTCTGACCTGTAGCATTGAGTCTTAGGAGTTTTGTTGGTGTTCTCTGCCTGACTTTTTGTTGTTCTTGCTTCCCTATTTGCAAGTTTCAATAAACCTTAACTCTTGCATGCCATCTCTGAATGTTATCTTTGACATCTCAGCAACCTAGCCCCCTGTCTTAGCATATCTTGGCTGTGAATGTTGCTCTCACTATGTTAAGTGATTGGAAAAACAAAACTTCAGTAGACCCCGAGTGACTCACGTAGGCTAACACAAAGAATGTTTCATTGTCTCTTTTGTACCATCAACCTTTTTGGCATTATTTTTTATCAATGTTTTTGAGAATTTAATACAATGTATTTTTGAACAGATTCTTCATTTCCAAACTCTTCCAAGAATGACCCTTTCCATCCTCCCATCCCTTCCGAACCAACTTTCAGGTTCTTTCTTTTTTTTTTTATTTTTATTTTTTTTCTTCTTTCCTCATTGAGCCTGGCTTGTGCTTGCCTTGGAATAGGGTCATTCTACCAGAGTTACATCATTAAAGAATGTTGATTCTTCATCTCCCAGAAGCTATCAAATGCCAGTAGCTCCTCGACTGGTGATGGTACTTCCTATCTGCCTTCTCTTGCTTATGCTGAACTGTTTTGTCAGGCTGGAGTTCATAAAGTTCCTTTGCATGCTGTCGCCTTAGTTACTGTGGGACTGCTCTATTGTGTATTGGAAACAGTGTTTTTTTGAAGTTACCAACCATGTCTGGCTCTTAGAAGCTTTCTGCCTGCTCTTGCACAAAGATCCCTGAGCCTTGGGCAGAAGGGTGTGAGATGAATGTCCCATTTAGGGTTGAGAACACTCCACAGTCTTTGACCAGTTGATCGGTGTTAATTGACATCTATTGCAAGAAGACACTTGGATGAAAGTTAAGAGATGCACTAATCTATGGGTATAAAGATAAGAATTTAGGGGACAGTTAATTACTGTGGCAATTTAGTAGAATAATATTATTAGCCCCACCCCCACCCCTGGAGCCTATGACCTAGGAAGCCATGGGTTTGGGCCCAGTCAATGGCACTGAATACATTTTTTTCCACAATTACTATCTTACAGAGCAGCACTTTGATCTAATCAGAAAATAGTTGGTTACTCCCATAACATTTATGCTAATTCTGCACAGGTGGGCATAGCTTGACAAGCCAGTTGCTCTTGCTTGCAGGGTTCACAAGTGAGATCGAGGCATATTTTTTTCTTCTCCAAAAGTATGCACACAGCAAGTTATAGAACCATGAACACTATCGAGCAGAGATATACTGCAATGAGAACTCCAACAGGAATAGAGACTGCTGCATGGACCCTGCTCAATGTAGGTTCCTGCTTGCTAATTCTCTAGCCACTATCTGCCATCTAGCCACTGGAATTCCTTCCTAGTCTCTCGTATTTGACTTTTTTAAAAGCATTCCCATGCCACTAGTGAGAGGAACAGCTCAGCTGTTCATTAAAGTTACTTTTAAAAATTAATAAATACCCATTGACCTGTACAGAAAGGATCTTCATATTGGGGAATTCAGAAAAACTAACAATCAATGAGAAATAAACAATGAACGTTTCAGTTAAAGATTGGATGTAGAACAAAGGTGAATAAATATGTATTAGAACAGAAAATGAGAATACAAGGGATAAAATAAAATTAAAAGCAAAGACCCACTAAGCAAGACTTCAGATGGAGACAAGGGATATATTTACGTGCACTTACACCACACTTTCTAGTGAGCACTCTTGATATCATCCTCAAGTTTCATATGTTGCTTGATCTCTACAGCTATTTTAAGCATCTACCTAGAAAAATTTGAACCATTAAGTTGCTCTGTGCTTCCACGTTATCATTTGTTCAATGGTACCCATGTTCTGAGTGACTAATACTTGAAGCATAAGAAAAGAATTCATGTGGTAAAGTAAGCTGCCTCCCTACCCTCTGATTGCTAACCCTACAAAACCAGACTGAATTGACAAGGAATGCTGTTAGCCAAAGGTGCAGATTACAAATTAAAAAAAAATGGGTGAGTTACATATAATTCTAGGTTTGTCTGCTGAGATAATAGGCCAGTTAATTTAGAGTAGACTTTAGAATCTTGTAGAGAAAGAGGTTTGCAAAAGTAGTTGATATGCTATCATTCCTTCAATTTTGTTCACTATAGTTAGTAATAAAAACTAACTTTTTATTACTTCTCAGGGTAAACATAAAAGCCAAGTCTTTGAAGAATTATTATATGTACTACATAATTACTTTCTGGTATAATAGAAGAATGAAGAGAGATATATGAATTAAAAACTTTTAACACATACTCTATGTAAGAGTTAAAAAATGTAAGGAAATAATTATGCATGCCATTTTCTTCAGATGGTTTTAAGAATTTATTTCTTTTGTACATTGATATAGGAAAGTTTAATTTTGCTAGATTGGAGTGTACTTCTTTGTATAGTTTAAAATTTGCTTTGTGATATGATAAAGATACCTTTAGGTTTTAAATTCATTGCCAATAAAAGATAATACAAAATGTTCTGTATTCTCTAAGGCATTTTGAGTAATATGAAGCTGTTATGAGACTTCTATCATATGCTTAATATTGATTCAGGTTGCCGCAATATGGAAGCTTGCCTTCTTAGGGTAGAAGTAACATCATGGCTGGAAAACTAACTTTCTGGGTTAAATATTGTCGTGGAGGGGATCCTGATTCAGATTATCTGAAATGATCAGGTTTCTGTGCTTAATAAAAAAGGAAATTGGAATGGATTTTTGATTTTTTCTTTTGCTTTAGGTTTTAATGATTTAATAAATTATTAACTAGTCCACAGAGTTGTGGGAATTATCTTTATGTGTTAAAGTATCTAACCTGACAACATTTTTAAAATGTTAGACAATACTGGATGAGGTGTGCACATTTAGTAGGCAAGTAATTTAGCGTATCTACCACCTTATCTAAAGCTTGGCTGGTTTCAGAGATTAACTCAACACATACTAAAGTCATCATACTTTCTGGTATTTATCACTTCAACACTTACCCACTGATCTCTAGTGGCAGCAATGCATTTAAAAATTATTTACACAATGTTCAATATTTAAACAGCTGACAACTTTTTATAATTTTCTGTTTACCTCTATTTTGTGTGCATTTTCTTCTTCATATTACCTTTGTGCAAATCAAACAAGATGAATTTTCAATGTCTGTGAAAGACTTCAAAGCATAAAACAAACTAAATAAACATGTTAAATAAATACATGGTATAACAACAGAGAGAAGAAGCTAAAACCATTCTGGAAAGTGTGTCATGTCTTTTCTGTGAGTATACATGTACTCTGAAGTTTAGTTTGATTTGTCAGAACATTATGTGCACAGGCTCTGTGCTATCAGGTGTATTTGTGGCTAGATTTGTGTCTGACCTAGACGGAGCTATCACTCCTCTTATAAATGGAACAAGAAACTACAAATCATTGCTTCCAAATTCCTGACTCAAAGACACTTCTGTCAGTCTGTAATGTAAAGTTTATCATAATTGAAAATTGATCCTGAATAAAGGAAGTTACCTACTCCATAGAGCAAATCCTCCCCAAATTTTTATACAATTCTATTATTTTCTGTTTCCAGGAATTAGTCATTTGACCATGTTTGGTTGCCACAAAAGGGCTAAGAGCATGTATGGATGTCTCTGTCTAACAATATGGGTTGTACTTATGTAGAAAACAAGGACAATGAATTTTGGGGACAACCAAGAATCTGACAGTAATTACATTAGGAAATTAAGAAAAATATGCAAGCATTTTTCTCTGTCTCTAATCTCTTCATGATCCCCAGGTTTTATTTATAATTCTTGAATAAACATCTAACAGTTACAAAATTATGAGGATGTCTAATAATCATGAGTCATTTACAATGATAGGATGAGCTGACTTTAGGTGGCAACCTCACTGGCTGAGGATTCATGTCTCCAGGAAGCTCACCTTCACTGGTGACCAACAACAATCCCTCCCTGAAGGAGTGGCTCATGCCTTCCAACCTTTGTACAACCCCAAGGAGCCCAGCCCTGTGCTGGCAAGAAGAACAAAGCACATGTGTTATAAAGATGTGTACACACCGAAAATATCACAGAGACATCACGCAGCTAGAAGAGCCTTATGAATCGTCCAATCCAAGCTCTCCACCTGGAAAGGGACTGGAGCTGGAACAATCTTTGGAGGGCTGTGGGGCATGCAGGCATAGTGCAAAGTACTTAATCTTTTTACCTTGTGGATGTCATTGGTGCATTGGTGCCTAAAGCTGAGATTATAACTAAAATTATGGGACTCTGCTTCAGCATGAAACAATTTCTGATTAACATTTGACTGTTTGTTTATATTCATGGATGTGTTCAAGTCACTTTT